TAAGTGTGAAGAACTTTGTCAAATGAGAATAGAAAAATGAGTGAATGACAGGAGAGATAAAAAAAAAATAATCATGAAATATAAAAGAATGATTATAAGGATCGATGAATGTAATTTAAGTAAGACATTTACTTGTATCCAAGAAAAAAAACATATGCCTTTTGTTTTATCCCATACGACATTTTGTTATATGAGAAGCACAAGTTTTTATTGCTTGTCCTATGCTCAACTAAATTGTTACAATACAGGTATCAAGCAAAAGCAAATGCAATAGAATTGTCAGATTACTATCCTGAAATAAGTTTATTGAAGATTATTACTCTTAAAATTAAGATTTGTGAACATTTTCCTCATGAATGCAGTTTCAAATGTAAAATCTCTGGATTCACCATTGAGATCATAACCTTTGTCCATTACACGAATACATGAAATACACTAGATAAACAAAAAACATTGTGAAAGTCAGATTTTATTTTTATTTATTCATTTGATCTTCCACATCATAGAATTTAGTACATACATGAAATGCACCCATTTACTAGATATGTTTAAATCTAATAGATAATAGATTTTAATGCACTAAAGTAATATTATTTCATTCCAAAGTTCTAATGAGATTGTCCTGTGACTCGAAACAACAAACCTAAAAGATGTCGCCATTAATTATTCCTTACAGGAAAGAAATTTTAATACAAATTTTCAATGGATTTCGTCATGCAAATTCAGTAAATAACTGAAACTATGCTAATGAAAACAATGCTGTTCTAAATCTACATCTTCATTATTGTTTTTAAACATGCCTTCTTCGGATATAGTTCTACGTTCAAGTAAAAATACAACTGCTCGTGCATCATTATCCACAACTTTCGCCTATTTCTTCAAGAAAATCATACGTTTGTTAAAATCGTAAAATGGAAACCAATTCAAGATCGTATGACTTGCCATATATATATATATATAAACATTCGTTCATAGTTTTTCAAGTGGTATGAATCATTTGAATACGCACAAGTGTCTTTTACCACTGACGAAATCAACCACTAAAATCTGAATCATTATTCTTGTTTAAACTAAAACTTGTAAGATTAAACGACAGCAAAAGTAAAAAGACTAAAAGATTTGATTGCACAGTTTCTATGTAACGATGATATGTCATCATACTCATTAATCAAGAACAAATATTTATTCAAAAGACTTTAGCATTCTGCTGTCTCCAACAAGACAGGGCAATGGTAAAAATATTTATTCTATTAAGACCTAATTGTAAGTATCGCATATTAAGATAGATTATTTTTTCCTATTCTATAATATTGATGAAAAATGATAACAAGATGTCAAAATCAAATTGATAAAACTTACACGAAGAAAAACGAACATTAAATATAAGCACTATATATATATCATGAAATTCTGATTCAGTAGAACAACAAAGAACGACAACTGACAATGAATAAATTATATCATAGAATACGATTCAAATTAGAAAATAAAAACAATCATGTATACATTATTCCGCAAGTGATTTCACTTAAATTTGATTTGATTGCATATTAATTGAGAAATATACTTGAAACAATTTGAAATCGAAAGAAATATACTGATTACTATAGATCTTCAGATTGGTCCTGGACTCGGTCTGAGTCCAAAAAACTTGCATACGATCGCCTCTACTAATTACAATTCAATCAGACTAATTCTACTAAACAAGAGAAAAAATAAATCAATTTCTCAGTTTCGATTAACCCTTGGAGTACCGGCCTCTTTTAACCGTGATTTTGATGACATGTGTTCTTTTTTAATAATCCTTTTACTTTTCAGCCAATATTTTCGTAAGATCTGACCTTTTCTTGTTTTATTCTATAGAAAAAAATGAGAACGATGTTCCTTATTTAGAACAATTAATACAAAAGACACGTTTGACAGAATGATCACTACAAACGAACGAAGAACAACTGAAACATTGAATTGATGTTTTCTTGTCCGTAGAACGTTCACAAATGGAGCACCTTTTTCGTTTTGGTTGAGTGGGATTTTCATTCGCTTCTGCCGGATCGTTCTTCGACACAGGATAACCGACGATTGCTAAAGCATTTAGAATATCTGTGTTCAAAAATTTCGAGTTCTTCGAACGAAAATCCAACAGATGCGATACCAGTGCTAATCCTAATTCTTCCAAAAATAATCGACGTTTATGATTTGTATTCTGATTCCATTGAGGATTTTTCACTTTCCAGACAATCAGAGCATTTATGGCAGCAATGTCTATCATCCCATAGAAAATACAAACTGGCCATCGCTTTGTACCTCGTTTTACCTGAAAAGTAAAATAAGCTATAGAAATACTGAAATATTTTTTACCGTGTATTTATGACACATTTGATCAACAGTATCGACAGCCCCCTTTGTTTTGTTATAATCCAATATAATGATCGGTTTTCCAGTTTTATTGTCCACTTGATTGTCGTGATGTTTTGAGGAGAGCAATAAAACAGCTTTATTCTGTTTTGGGACAAATGAAACTAAGGTTAAACCATCTTGGAAACCAAAGAGCGAAGAACCCACTTCACGATTTTCGTTGGATTGAAACTCGATAGGTATTTCTGACTTGTTTTTTCGCAGTGTTCCTATAAGAGTCAGATTCTTTGTTTGAAGCGTTTGGGCTAATGGAACACTTGTGAAGAAATTATCTATTGTAACGTTTCTTTGGAAGCCGTAAAGTGGTTTGAGTAATTCTAGAACGACTTTGGCACCTATCTGTGTTTGTCTTTGCTCATTCGGTTGTCGTCCAACGTAAGGAAATGCATTGAATACATAATGTGAGTCCACATCAACGCATAGCCAAAATTTTAATCCGTATTTGTCAGGCTTTTTTGGCATATATTGACGGAAGGAACATTTTCCTCTAAATCCTAGTAGTTGTTCATCAATAGTAACATTTGATCCCGGTGTGTAACATGTTTGTAAGCAATTTTGGAAATATGACCAGATTTCACGAATTGCTGCAAATTTATCTGTTCGTTTTCTTTCTTCCCTTGTTCTTTTGTCGTCAAATCTCAAACAAGAAATAATATCCTGAAAACGAGTTCTTGACATAGTGGCTTTGAATATTGGCGGTTCTAATGGACTTCTTCTCCATAAGCATTTCAGATCGATCTTCGATTTCCCCAATAAACCAGCAAGCAATAAAAGTCCAATAAATGCTTTCAATTCTATGAGTGTTATTTCTTCAATTTTTTTCGTGGAGGTATTCTTGTGAGTATACTCCAAGTTTGAATAATCCAAGATTTTTTCCAGAAGTTTGTTTGGCATAAAACACATGAATGCATCTTCGACAGATGAAATATTTTCACTGGTATTTGTAAGACCAGCTTTTTGAATAACATCATTCGAAAAATCATTTTTCGTTGAATGATGAGGAGTTGAGGACCAAATCATTCCAGAACGGGAAGTATACGAACTTTTCCATGTGGAGTCATCGTCTAATTTTAGGTTTTCTAAATCAATTTCATCATCATCGTCGGATGTTTGGCTTTCGCCATCTCCCGTTTCCGAACCGCTGTTTGCATCATCGAAATAATCACTGTCGCTTCCGGTTTCACTTGAACTGTCCATAATCTTTATGAAAAATATTTCAATGGATTGAAAATGCACACCCCTTTAGATCAGAGAATGACTCATTTTATTAGACATTAGAATTTTCATTGTTTCTCCGTTTTGTAAAAAACATATTACTGATACAATGTTTTACTAAGGGGGCGCACTAATATGGAGAAAGAATGTATTTCGTTCTAGATTCATTATCATATATCTCTTCGTAAAGGTTACTAGCTGCTGCTGAAAACTGCGAAACAACAAAACATGTTTAGCATTTTTCGGAGATTTCGAGCGTGGGGTCAAAAATGACCCCGGCTGGTACTCCAAGGGTTAATGATTGAATGTAACAATGAAAATTAATACAAACGATATCTTTTCGTAAAATTTTGTTTTTTATTCATAACAAAAAAAAAACAAATTCTTTTTCATCTTTCCATTTATATGTTTTCACTTCATTGTGTGCATAAAATTAATATAACAATGTGATTGCAAATTCTTTTTTTCTCCTTCTGTTTTTCTTTTGCAAACATTCATTTGAAGATGTTCATTACGAACTTATCAACAACATACTGACTCACCGTAAACAAATTACGTCATTCATGAGGAAGTACATAGTTAAACAATTTTTATTTAATAAAAGTTTCGATGAATATTTTAGTGACAAAAAAAAAGCAAACAGCAAAACAAAATTAAGCATGAATAATAAATATTTATTGTTCAAAATGTTTATAAGTGTTTATGCTTGATAACGAACTGCTCGATCAGAACCACTAGCATGGAAGACTTTGAAAAAGATAATTTCACCAGTGAATATAAGAGCAGAAAAAATAATTCCACAAGCTATACCAGCAGCTGCTGCTTGACCAAGACCTGTTTCACCTGTTACCACATCTATAACAAATGAAAAAAAGACAATACTAATGAAAAAATGTCCCCAGGCGTTAAGCTGCTTCTCGAGTTTAGAATATATGTATTTTATAGGTTTCAATTAGCTATGAATATCTTGAAAAGAGTTCGGACTAATAGTTTTATTACTGAGATATAGTATGTTTGATCAGAATATCGTATTCCTTCATAGGAACGTCAGGAAAAGTAAGTTTTGAATTTTGACTTGAAACTTTACGTAGAGATAGGCGTTAATGAGAATAGTTCATTGTAAAAGTGTATTTTTCACAACGATCATGTAGAACGGAATAATCTGATATTTCTTATTTTAAAATAATGCAATTAAAAACTCTAAAACTTTCACAATAAGCTAGTCCCGTTAACGGCTATCTGTGTATAAAGTTTCAAGTCGAAATCAGAAACTCAGTTTTCTGGGTATTTTTTTTAGAGAAACCACGGCATTCTGCTAAAAACTACAGTAACTTGATAGTAATTATCTATTCACCTAAATTCTTTCTAAAGTATTCATAACTGATTATAAACTACATGATACACAGAATTTCTGTTCAAAGGTGATTTAACACTTAAAAGCGTTTCCTTCTTAGCTGTTTATTAAAATAAATATACAAGAATATTCACTTGGTTGCTTTGAACTCAGTGTGGTTGTCGGTGCTTCTGTTACTATAGTTGATGCAGAAGACGCTGCCGTTGTGATGATTACTGTAGCTAATGTGGAAGATATCGTTGCTGTAGAGATAGTTGCTAATGTGGAAGATATTGTTGCTGTAGAGATAGTTGCTAATGTGGAAGATATCGTTGCTGTAGAGATAGTTGCTAATGTGGAAGATGCTGCCGTTGTAGAGATAGTTGTTGCTGATGTAAAAGATGCTTCCATTGTAAAGCCTGTTGTTGCTGATGCAAAAGATGCTTCCAATGTAGAGCTTGTTGTTGCTGATGTAGAAGATGCTTCCGTTGTAGAGGTTGTTGTTGTGAAAGATACTTCTGTTGTAGAAATTGTTGTTGTTGTTGTGGAAGAAACTTCTGTTGTAGAGATTGTTGTGGAAGATGTTGTTGTTGTGGAGCTTATCGTAGTAGTAGTAAATGTCGGTATAGAGTTTGACATTGACGAAAGTTCTACTGAGACAAACGCTGCTGTAGTGAGACCTGCTGAAGATATGTCTGTAGATGGATATGTTAATATTGTTGTTTCAACTTGTAAAACCGTTTGTGACACACATATGCTAATATTGTGATTACAAAGAAAATTTGTACAAACACATTCTTGAACAGGTCTTGCAGCAGCATCAGTATATCCAACATAGGCGTTAGTTGCTGTTTCATTCAGCGAAATACTCGAACCCATATTTATTATTGATTGTGCTTCGTAAACTTTTTCAGAAAGATAAGTTTCGTAATTTTCATAGATAAGTGATCGTCGTGTTGTTGTTATATCATTTACTGTAATAGCGCACAATACACTTGTACTTCTGATGTAGTCTTGACAAGCCGAAACATTTATAAATGGTTGTTCTGTACATGTGTTAGATGAATCCAATGTATCATTGCATTGAATGATGGATGTTATATTAGGCATAAAATCAATAGATGAGGACACATTCACCGAATTCGAAGCCGAATCTCGACAGGTAATAAAATCGTTGTTGCAGTTGTCATTTGTACAAACACAAATTTGTATCGAATTGTAGGTTTCGAATGGCAGTCGTACTTCACATGACCATACACCGGTACCTGCATCTGATATATTTGAACTTGGAACACATCGCTTTTCAATGAATCGACGGAATGTATTTATATATCGAAGACCATCGAATAAAGAGAACGACGTTTCTACAGCTTCAATCGCACCAATATAGGTACGAATAGCACATAACTGGAAATCCCGCGGTGATGTCTGATCATTATTTAATCTACATGTGAGGTTGCGTGGAAGAATAATATTTGACACATTTTGAAGAAAAAAAGCATTGACTGTATGTGGAATGATAATTAACACATAAATACTAACAACGAAATAAAGTCGAATCATGTTGATGCAAACGAAACTACTCTTGTTTGCTGATCGTACGATTATCTATTTTTTTCGGTGTTTAATTATTTAAATTTTCAGAAATACTTGCAGACAAACGACCAAGAAAGAATTCGTATTTACGTTTTTTTTTTTTGTATGAAATATACACATTATGAAAACGAACAAAAACAAAATATGTTCGATCACTTTTTCCTTTTATTACTAATTGAAATACATGCAAAGAAAAACAAGCAAAAGAATATGAGATTTATGAATTTACGAGAAAAAAAAAACTTGAAGTGCTGTTTTTTTGTCATATGTAAAGAGAAAAATACAAAACAATATGCTTCTAGAAAAGAAAAGAAAAAATCAAACGAAAATGTCTTATATGGCGTACATGATTTTTTCTAGTTTCGTTAGAATATCATAGATTAACCAATGACTATATTGTATCCTACACCAGGATTCATATGAACTAATCATTTTAAAAACAAGATGTAAATATATGAAATAAGAATATATAAAATATAATTAATATATTCTATCAATGTATCAATATAAACATTCAAAGAATGAGTAATATTATGATTCAATGATGAAATGAATATTATTTTCATGATTAAGATGTTTTTTTGTCTCTACATGTTTATTTAAGTAATGGAGACGATAGAACACCATTAAACGGTGTGAAACAGACAGTGTAAATATGTGTTTGTTGACATGACTCTTAGAAATTATAGCGGTAACAGCATATATTTCAAAAATGTTGATGTTGAATGAGTATGTTTTTCTTTGATACATCAATCGATTAGATCAAAGGATTTGTTGCTTTATTCATACATTCGATGAAGCTTCGTTGCATAACAAATTTCAATCATCTTATATTCAATTTTTATCCAAACAAGAAACAAAAAATATAAAATTTAAAATAAATCAAACTACTACATTCTATATCTGTCAAAAAAACAAATCAACAAATCAATTTCTGAAAAAGAAATAGAGAATAATTAACAAATTATTATTTTTTTTTGCACAATATTAATGAATACAATCATTTCCTACAATTCCTTCTTCATCAATAACATCAAAATAAACTCGAGGAAGTGCACAACCAAGTGCAGATATAAGTGATTCTTGTTTTAATTGACATATTCTTAGTGTATTTTGTCCAAGAATTGATTCTAAAAATATAGTTAAATCTTGTGTAGCTTGTTTTTCTAATTGAAAAAATTCTCCCGTTAATATACAATGATTAATTGATGGATAAAGTTTAAGTAATAATTTGATTGTTAATGCCATATTCATTGTAAACATTGATAATAATGAATGATGCATTGCTAAACATGTTTGTAATGATGAAAATTCAATAAAACTATCGTCAGTTTGTGTATGTACATCATATGTTGTTATATTATTATCATAAGATGATGTTCGTCTATTTGACCAACCACGATAAATATAATGTGAAGTTGTTGATAGAGTATAATCAGAAGGAAAATATCGTTGTGGTATACGAGTAAAACTTGTTAAAGGTACATGACATGAAAGATTTGTTGATGAACGATGACAATTTTTACATAAATTAAGACGTGTAAAATCTAATGAAACAAGTGATGGACGTCGAATTGTCGATGATGATGATGATGGTCTAGAACAAACAATGGATAAAGTTGTTGAATGAATATTAGACTATCAATCAAATGAAATGATATAATGATTTATAAGAGTATGAGAACTCTTTTGTTTGTTTTTAAATCGAATAGAAATGAAGAGAAAAATGAATCTTTTATAATAGCTTTAAAGCCTAGCCTCTTTCATTTGATCAAAAAATATATAACATGGTTTATAGAAAAATCCCAAATGATGCCAAAAAAAATAAATCCTGGAAGATGTTGATAAGCTACAGTATGTTGTAAAATATATACATATCAATCCTTTGTATATTTATTATCATTTATTAGATAGAATAAACGAAAGTATTCCAATTGTTTTTGATGTTGTGGGTACAGTTAGATTTCAACGAGATTAAGAAAATTGTCTGAATCGTCATGTTCATCACTCTTCCCTTCTAAGATATGATCACAACTATATTAAAGCTACTATCTCTCTTCTTAAATACGAATTATTTCTACTCTTCATTCGAAATAGAATGTATTTATTTATCAAGTACAAGAATCGCAGTTCACTTAAGTGAACTATTTGGAAACCAAACAGTATAACTGCGTACTAGGCCATGATGAGTAGTGATGACTGCATTTTCACTTGTTCTTTTTTTCTATAGATTTAGATACCAGCATTTTTGCCAGAATTCTCAAAGAATTCATCATAAATTCTGAAGAAATCTTTTGAAATAGAAATTTATTTTTATGAGTTTAAAAAGTACACATTTTACATATCATGGCTTCTCTATTTATCTAAACAGCTGTGTTCTTAAGCTATGATGTCTCTAATCGAGTTTAGTAACCGAAACTGCAGATTTTAGCCAAAACAAATCTGTTCTAATTCTATTAGTAGTATAAAATGCTTATTAAGAAACGAAACTCTCAGAATCAAAAAAGAGCTAGTTATCAATTATTTTGATCCGTTTTTTACAAATCAATGAATTATAAGCTGTCATACATCCAATCTCTAGAATTCTAAAGATTTCAAATATTAATTATATTCAAAGAAAATTGATCATAAGCATCGATAAATCTGAATTTCAAATCTCTACTAGACTAAATTATGAAGTTTTGAAGATTCTATTATCAAGTACCTGTTCTCGAAGAATTCTTTCATTTTTCTTGATAAAATTATGATTATGTCTCAGAAGGAAAGTGCTACAAAAATGAGAATTTTAGAATCTTCTTAAAGTTCACTAAAAACCTTCTTATGATGATCAAAAACTGAAATCACAAAGTCAGAAATATCTAGCCACTCTACCTTGTCAATAGCACATATAATATTTTCGAAAATGTTTTTTTTTACTACTACCCATATCAAAATATGATGTGCTCCACTGATCTTCATAAATAACTGTTGATAGAAACATCATAGACATAGATACATGTGACTATCGAGGTATATCGAAATTGACCGATGAGGTATACTTTTGATGGAGATTTTTGACTTCTCCATTTCGGAAATACTGAAGTAACAGAATCAGATCATTTTGAACGAAAAAACAAATATCCCCATTCCACTCGGAATGATGAATAAACGTTGGCTAACAAATCTTCTGAGGGATCATAGATCAATTGGCTGAATTCAGAGGTCTCCGAAGAGGTCTTATCACTCTTGAATACAAAGAGCTCAGAATGTCGGCATTGTGTAGATCGAAAGAGAAGAATCTTTTCGATTTTTTAACTCTATTAGAACTCTTAATTCAAAGGAAAATAGCTTCAGAATACCGTTTTCGAAAATCTCCATCAAGAATACATCTCATCAATAAATTTCGCACTAATCAAACTTTGATGACTACAGATCTTCTCATTTCAGGGATGAAAATCGCAGATTTCTATGACGTGTCTACCAAAAAACATTGAAACACATTATATTATAAAATGAATAGTAACATGCACTATATCATTGATCGTCTTCGAAAAGTAAAGTGTTTTTCTTCGATATTTATATAAAAAAAAAACGGAAACTGATATTTACATTTGTTCATCATTTATTGGATCATATCCCGGTTGTAAAAGTTTCATTAAATTCGAATAAGTTTTATAACATAAATTATTCGATGTTAATACAGAATATTTACTTGATGAATGAACAATATAAAAAAATGTACTTCCAGCTTCAGCATGAAGTAATATATATGGATAAAGTTGATAAGTATCATTAATATGTTTATTATCTAATATATTAATTAATTCATTATGTTTATCAATATTAATCATTTGATTATTTCCAAGAAAAAAATTTAAACCAATCATATATGATTCAGCACGATATTGTATAATATCAAAATTTAAATTAACTTTATTTAAACGTGATGAAATTTTTATTTCATATTCATATTTTTGTTCACCTGTTAATGCTATATTAAGTACAAATGGAGATATTATAGAAGAATTATAATTTATAAATGTTTGTAAATATAATAATACATGATCAAATTCATTATGTGTTAATGTAAATAAACGAAAATTAGCTTCTTGTTCAATTATTGTTTGTAATTTAACATTTGATATAGACCAATTTTTATGTTCATTATTTATAATTAATGATATCAAATAACGTTGAAAAATAACTGTAGAATAATCAACATTTTGTGGATAAAGTTCTATTAAAACAAGTGATACACCTGTCATTGTTATATTAATTCCAATTGCAGGTACATCATATGATGATGATGATGAATAATCTTCTTGTTTATTATTGAAAATAACATTTGATTCTTCAATTGGAGAAGGTGCAGCTGATGAAAAAGAAAAAATCGAATTTTTCTTTTTCAAAAGATTCAAAATGAAAAGTTTTGTTGATTAGAATTATATTTCAAGTTAAAAAAAAACAAACTCTTAGCATAATTCTTACAGTATTAAAATGTGAAATACACTATAATTTATCTTGCTAATCATAGA